GGGTTTAGAGGTTTAGGGTTTAGGGTTTAGGGTTTAGGGTTTAGGGTTTAGGGTTTAGGGTTTAGGGTTTAGGGTTTAGGGTTTAGGGTTAAGGGCTTGGGGTTTAGGATCCTTGTTAGCTCTGAAAGCTAAAAAACACGAAGGCTTTAGGACCAAGGAGGCTGACAGGCTGAGGGCTTCCCGCTTGCTTCAGGTTGCGCTACCCCGATTACCTTAGGGTTTAGGGTTTAAGGTTTAGGGTTTAGGGTTTAGGGTTTAGGGTTTAGGGTTTAGGGTTAGGGTTTAGGGTTTAGGGTTTAGGGTTTAGGGCTTGTCGATTTAACATGCGTAGTGTATGGAAAGAGAGACGGAGGTCCGAAACCTTCAGCGCAAAAGAGTTCCGTCATGTACATGGAGCTCTACTTTCTCCCACCCCAGGATGCCACCCAAAGCATCTGTAGGACGCTTAAGTTCTTAAGCGTCGCTAATATTGATAATAGTGTCTGGTAAAGAGATTACAGAAAATGTGAGAAACAAAAGACCATGCACTTACACAGTAAATGGCTGTAATTATGTTCCATAATTACCATTTACTTCTAGGTAAGACTAGAAAGTCGGCTTGCTAAGGCCTTTGGGTGGCTTAGGGGGGCCTTACCCCCTCCTGTGGGGTACTCCACACAGAAAAACGCCTTGTTTTGGAGTAATTTTTGGCTCCAAGCACGATTTAGAAAGGCCAGACAAAGAAAAACGCACTTAAAGAGACCACACACAAAGAAACGCATTGTTTTGGAGTAATTTTTGGCCCCAAGCACGATTTAGCAAGGCCAGACAAAGAAAAACATGCTGTTCCCGAGTAATTTTTGGCTCCAGGCATTTGGCTGGCCACGAGCACTCGAGGGTCCATTTTTTGATCCGGGTTTGACTGGGGCTTAGGGTGGCTTCAGAGAAGCCATTTAGCAAGGCCAGACAAGGAAAAACGCGCTGTTCCCGAATAATTTTTGGCTCCAGGCATTTGGCTGGCCACGAGCACTCGAGGGTCCATTTTTTTATCCGGGTTTGACTGGGCTTCATTTTTGGCTTCAACCACGATTTAGCAAGGCCAGACAAAGAAAAACGCGCTGTTCCCGAGTAATTTTTGGCTCCAAGGCCTTTGGCTGGCCACGAGCACTCGAGGGTCCATTTTTTGATCCGGGTTTGACTGGGGCTTAGGGTGGCTTACCCTCTCCTGGGCTACCCCCACAAGAAGGCCAGAATTTCAGAAAATGAGGGGGTAATTTCCGCTATATAAAATCTATTTAAACTTAATTGGGAATCGAGCCATTTTTCCCGAATCCTGGGGCACCCCCCACGGAGCCTCCCTGGGACCTTCACAAAAGCTTTCAGCCTCCTTCAGACCTTCGAAAGAGCTTCAGAGAGGCCACGCAAAAAGAAACGCACTGTTTTGGAGTAATTTTTGGCTCATTTTTGGCTTCAACCACGATTTAGCAAGGCCAGACAAGGAAAAACGCGCTGTTCCCGAGTAATTTTTGGCTCCAAGGCCTTTGGCTGGCCACGAGCACTCGAGGGTCCATTTTTTGATCCGGGTTTGACTGGTGGGGCTTAGGGTGGCTTACCCTCTCCTGGGCTACCCCCACAAGAAGGCCAGAATTTTAGAAAATGAGGGGGTAATTTCCGCTATATAAAATCTATTTAAAATTAATTGGGAATCGAGCCATTTTTCCCGAATCCTGGGGTACCCCCCACGGAGCCTCCCTGGGACCTTCACAAAAGCTTTCAGCCTCCTTCAGACCTTCGAAAGAGCTTCAGAGAAGCCACGCAAAGAGAAATGCACTGTTTTGGAATAATTTTTGGCTTCATTTTTGGCTTCAACCACGATTTAGCAAGGCCAAACAAAGAAAAACGCGCTGTTCCCGAATAATTTTTGGCTCCAGGCATTTGGCTGGCCACGAGCACGCTGGGGTCCAAAAAAGGTTTGATGTCAGGGTTTTAGGGCGTTAAATAACTCTTGTATTAATACTGACAGTACTGTCTATAGAAATATTAACGAATATTTGTATACAGACATGCACTTACCTGTAAATGGCTGTAATTATATTCTATAATTGCCATTTACCTCTAGGTAAGACTTAGAAGGTCATTTGTTTACATTCCCGTCAAGGTGTGTTACGCTCCTGTACGTGAGAAGGCTTTAGCTGAGCACTCAGGCATAAGCTTAAGAGTTTAGGGTTTAGGGTTTAGGGTTTAGGGTTTAGGGTTTAGAGGGTTTAGGGTTTAGGGTTTAGGGTTTAGGGTTTAGGGTTTAGGGTTTAGGGTTTAGGGTTTAGGGTTTAGGGTTTAGGGCTTGTCGTCCTTACATGCGTAGTGTGTGGAAAGAGAGACGGACGTCCGAAACCTTCAGCGCAAAAGAGTTCCGTCATGTACTTGGAGCTCTAGTATATCCCACCCCAGGATGCCACCCAAAGCATCTGTAGGACGCTGAAGTTCTTAAGCGTGTCTTGATGTCAATCTTTTGAATTGGCAGTATTTTGGAATTGATAGCATTTTCTGTTGGAAACACGCCTTGCGTCGGCGAGGCAACATGGTGAGTTTGGCATGTTAGAGTAGTTTACGGCGGTCTCACACAGTGAAAGCAGCAACAACAAGTTAACAGCGATACAACGGTTACAAATATAGTAAGACCGAGGCAGTAGCGACGCAGCAGCAGCAGCACCAGTGCGGCTTCTCACCCTGCTGGGTACGGAATTTGCAGAGTCTGTCTATGGACTTCCGACGCCGCTGGTTTGCTTTGCCAGTTCTTTTTGGGGAAATTTTGGCTCCAAGCCCGATTTAGAAAGGCCAGACATATAAATTCTATTTAAAATTCGAGCCATTTTTCCCGAATACTGAGGTACCCCCCCACGGAGCTTCCCTGGGACCTCGAAAAAGCTTTCAGCCTCCTGCAAACCTTCGAAAGAGCTTACTTAAAGAGGCCACACACAAAGAAACGCACTGTTTTGGAGTAATTTTTGGGCCCAAGCACGATTTAGCAAGGCCAGACAAAGAAAAACGCGCTGTTCCCGAGTGATTTTTGGCTCCAGGCATTTGGCTGGCCACGAGCACTCGAGGGTCCATTTTTTGATCCGGGTTTGACTGGGGCTTAGGGTGGCTTACCCTCTCTTGGGGTACCCCACAGGAAGGCCACAATTCCAGAAAATTAGAAGTCATTTCCGCTATATAAATTCTATTTAAAATTTACTGAGAATCGTGCCATTTTTCCCGAATCCTGGGGTACCCCCCACGGAGCTTCCTGGGACCTTCGAAAGAGCTTACTTAAAGAGGCCACACACAAAGAAACGCACTGTTTTGGAGTAATTTTTGGCCCCAAGCACGATTTAGCAAGGCCAGACAGAGAAAAACGCGCTGTTCCCGAGTAATTTTTGGCTCCAGGCATTTGGCTGGCCACGAGCACTCGAGGGTCCATTTTTTGATCCGGGTTTGATTGGGGCTTAGGGTGGCCTACCCTCTCTTGGGGTACCCCACAGGAAAGCCACAATTCCAGAAAATTAAGGAGTCATTTCCGCTATATAAATTCTTTTTAAAATTTACTGAGAATCGAGCCATTTTTCCCGAATCCTGGGGTACCCCCCACGGAGCTTCCTGGGACCTTTGAAAGAGCTTACTTAAAGAGGCCACACACAAAGAAACGCACTGTTTTGGAATAATTTTTGGCCCCAAGCACGATTTAGCAAGGCCAGACAGAGAAAAACGCGCTGTTCCCGAATAATTTTTGGCTCCAGGCATTTGGCTGGCCACGAGCACTCGAGGGTCCATTTTTTGATCCGGGTTTGATTGGGGCTTAGGGTGGCCTACCCTCTCTTGGGGTACCCCACAGGAAAGCCACAATTCCAGAAAATTAAGGAGTCATTTCCGCTATATAAATTCTATTTAAAATTTACTGAGAATCGAGCCATTTTTCCCGAATCCTGGAGTACCCCCCACGGAGCTTCCTGGGACCTTCGAAAGAGCTTACTTAAAGAGGCCACACACAAAGAAACGCACTGTTTTGGAGTAATTTTTTGCACCAAGCACGATTTAGCAAGGCCAGACAGAGAAAAACGCGCTGTTCCCGAGTAATTTTTGGCTCCAGGCATTTGGCTGGCCACGAGCACTCGAGGGTCCATTTTTTGATCCGGGTTTGACTGCGGCTTAGGGTGGCTTACCCTCTCTTGGGGTACCCCACAGGAAGGCCACAATTCCAGAAAATTAAGGGGTCATTTCCGCTATATAAATTCTATTTAAAATTCACTGAGAATCGAGCCATTTTTCCCGAATCCTGGGGTACCCCCCACGGAGCTTCCTGGGACCTTCGAAAGAGCTTACTTAAAGAAGCCACACACAAAGAAACGCACTGTTTTGGAGTAATTTTTGGCCCCAAGCGCGATTTAGCAAGGCCAGACAGACAAAAACGCGCTGTTCCCGAGTAATTTTTGGCTCCAGGCATTTGGCTGGCCACGAGCACGCTAGGGTCCAAAAAAATTTTGATGTCAGGGTTTTAGGGCGTTAAATAACTCTTGTATTAGTACTGACAGCTGTCTATAGAAATATTAAAGAATATTTGTATACAGACATGCACTTACCTGTAAATGGCTGTAATTATATTCTATAATTACCATTTACCTCTAGGTAAGACTAGAAGGTCATTTGTTTACATTCCCGTCAAGGTGTGTTACGCTCCTGTACGTGAGAAGGCTTTAGCTGAGCACTCAGGCTTAAGCTTAAGAGTTTAGGGTTTAGGGTTTAGGTTTTAATTACCCCCTAGTACCCCCTACTTCCCCGATTTCGGCATCCCAGCAGGGGTGAAACTCTCCCATGCAGGCCTCCCTTGCAAAAGACGACGGTGCTGGGAAGCAGAGCAAGAAGCTGTGGAACCCCTCACTGGCTCATTTGCTTCAACCCTAAACCCTAAACCCTAAACCCTAAACCCTCCTAAACCCTACTCCTTCATCCCAAAGCCCTCTATAAGACCCCCAAGTCCATCGCCCTTAGTACGGGGGGCCGAACTGGGCGGCTTCGGCCGCGAGCCTCTCACGCTGACGCTCCTCTGCCAGCTCCCGCTTCCTTGAGTTGGGGGTTTAGGGTTTAGGGTTTAGGGTTTAGGGTTTGGGGTTTGGGGTTTAGGGTTTAGGGTTTAGGGTTTAGGGTTTAGGGTTTAGGGTTTGGGGTTTGGGGTTTGGGGTTCGGAGTTTGGGGTTTGGGGTTTGGGGTTTGGGGTTTGGGGTTTGGGGTTTGGGGTTCAGGGTTTAGGGTTTAGGGTTTAGGGTGGGGGGAGGGCTTTGGGAATTTAGGGGTTGGAGGTTTGATGGTTCAGGGTTTTAGGGTTTTAGGGGCTTCCTTTTTTGTGCTCAAGAGCCGTCGGGTTTAGTCTTAGGGTAGCTACATGGTCGGTGGAGGGCGGTGGCTCACAAAGGTGGTGGCCCTCGAAGATGCACAACCGAGCCTGCCGAGCACCCCGCACGGACAGCCACGTCCAGGCCGAACAACCGCCCCATGATGATGGCCGAGTAGAAGCCTAACGGGATCTCAGCCAACTGCCTCGTGGCCATAACACGGCATTGGGGCCCGTAGATATTCTCCAAGGCTTCTATAGCCGCCTTGGCGTACATGCAGCCCGCCAGGCTTTTGATAGTCGACTCCACCTCCTGAACTTCGACATCGGGCTTCAGGCCTTCTACGTGTGCCTTGCCGATCTCCGTGACCAACTCCTGACGACTAATTATCCCGAAGCCACTGGAAGATCTCCTCCATGCTTCCATCCGAGCCTGACTGGCTGACAAAGGGCCCCAAGAAAACGAAAAGGCTGTGGATTCTCGAGTTCACATGGGCCACAAAGTCTGTGAGGGCCATGTCCACAGAGCCGCCCAGGGCATAGACAAAGCCACTTGAGAAGAGAAACGTGTGCTCTTCCTTCGCGTCCTGATCTCCTGGTACGTCCCGCAGAAGATTTCTTGGATTCTTATCACTACTTCTGAGGGCGGCGCGGCACAAGACTACCACTTCGTATGAGGGTGTCACAAAACTTGAAGAGACGCGGGCCAAGATGACAGTTGCCCTCAGGAGAAGAAGCTCACCCAGAGAGTGCCCCGTCCCAGCTCTTTGAGAAAACAGAATGGCGGTACTGTGCAGCGCATGGCCGTAAAGCCAAAAGAGCAAAGGTTCTGCAGCACGCAACACCTGGTTCGTACCTCAGGAGGCATGCCCCACCGAACGGCCTTGCCAGCGGACGTAAGCTGGAGTTGCACGCTTTCGTCACGCCTTGTAGCAGTGAGCTAGGCCCATCGTTTGGTGCAATCAGTGCCCAGAGCTGCACGACGGCGGAGCACCGCCCTGTCCCGACGGCTGCGTGCAGCCACGCAGAGCTCCTGCAGAACTTGCGGCTGCCCGGGCAATATTCCACAGCACCCGGCTAGCTCCCGGCTCCCATGTGCCTGTGCCTTCGAGGACCATGGGCTGGAACTGTACCCCTTGAGCAGCGCATACCCGAGCGGTGTCGAGGTGGGACTCCTTCGTACGGGCATAAGCAGCTGCCGCCACCCCGGCGTGTCTACCAGCCTCGGTCAAGGTCTCCATCCGCTGGCATGCTGTAACAGCAACATCAAGCGCAGTTGGAGATCCCTGAAACGATGGGAGATAGACATCAGCGGGGCGGCGGCGCTCCAGTCCCACCTCGCCGGGACGCTGTGGGAGTAAGAGACCAGGTCTTTCACGTTCAGGCTGTAGCCCGGCCCGATCAGCCCAAGAGCATAGTAGGTTGCGAACTGCATTGTGTCGTTGGGTGCGTTCACCACCCGCAATGCAGACACCAGCGTGCAACGAGTGACAGTCCATAATTCCGTCACACTCTGGGCACCACACGTCTTCTGCAGCCTCTGGCACGAGGAGGCGGTGTCTCAACTCCGCCACGAACACGGCGGGGTCTATGCGCCGGAGCAAGTGGGGGACGGCGGCCAGGAAAGCCCGTGCGCCAGCTTCAGCCTCCGAGATAAGCACAGCCCTGGCCCAGGGCAGCGCTCCAGCAAGCTGCCTGTTCCAGGCTGCAGCATCGGCCTTGGCAGTGAGCTGCTTTTGGCGGCTGCCAAGCGCGGCCGACATGGGCACGCGTTCGTCCTCAGCCATCTGGGCATTGAGGAGCTGCAAGGCGTGTTCAGCGGACGGCTGATGTGGCACCGCGGCAACCTCGAAAGAGGGGTCCAAGTCAGCACACGCCGAGATACTGCCACCAAGAGAAGCCAGGTAAGCCGCCGGCGCATCCCGCACAGCTGACCGCAAACCCAGACCGGCCTGAGCAAGGCCGCGCTGGGTTTGCCGGACCTGCTCCGCGGTAAGAAAGCAACCCTGCGCAAGAGCGTCGAACTCCTCGAGCGCAGACAGCTGGGCCTTTGGTGGCGTGCAGCGCATGCCATGCACCAAGCGAGCGTGGCCGGCACAGGCACGCAGCAACCTGAGGCCTAGGGGGTCCTCCAGCCCGGAAATGGCATCCAGGAGCGGCACGGCAGCCTGGCAGCGAGCGTAGGTGTGGGCTGCGGTGTAGTCGTCGTCCCCAACTGCCGCACCCAAAAGCTCAAAGTTGCGAGCGACCCGCCCCTCCCCCGAAGCCCCGAAAAGAATTTCCCGGGGAAGGTGCGCAGTCAGGCTGTCCGCTGTAGTAGCCCCCACAGCCACTGCTTCGCACTTGCGCATGGGCGCAGCCCAACTTCCCTCTGCTGAACATGGCGCAGCGCTTGCCCGACTGCGGCAGGCGTGCCCGCAATCACCCCGTCATCCAGGTAGAAGACCGCCAAGTCGAGTGGCCCAGCTTTAAGCTCTCGACCCAAGCTCTGCAGCACACATGCGAAAAGGAGGGGGCCAAGTGGATCACCCTGCTGCACTCCCGCTGCCGACTGCACACCAAAGGCACCAAAGAGCAGGTGAGAGGGCTGTCTGTAACACCAGTGAACCCAGCGAGCCAGGTGTGGGAAGTGCTCAGTGACAGCAGTCAGCACCGCATCACGGGAGATGGTATTGAAAGCATTCTCAAAGTCCAGCTTGACCAGAACCCGGTCAGTGGCCTTGGCTTGGCGAGCACAGTATGAGCGCACCGCATGCACCGACACCGCCCAGCTGCACAGGCCAGAAGAATGCTTTGGCATCCTCTCGCACGCTTTCAGCAAGGCACTTGCCTGTTAGCCGCCGCAGGACTTCCCCGATGGCAATGGGTCGGACACCCCCCTTCGGCTTCGGAAGTGCGACCAAGGCAGCACCAGCAAGGTAGGGGGCAACGCTGTTGCACGCTGCTCCCTGCGCAAGGAGGTTGACCACATCCGTGAGGCGGCGCAGAAATTCATCATGGACAACGCCAGGGGCGGAAGCGTCCAAGAGGTGCTGGGCTCGCAGACCCGACGGTCCGGGGGCAGTGCCGGCAGGAAAGGCACGCAGCGCCCTAGCTACCGCATCAGCATCAATGTCCAGGGATGCAGGTAAGTCCCGTTCCGACCAAGCTCGCGGAGCAGGATGAGAAGGGTGAAGCATGCGAAGCTCCTCAGCTGTGGCAGCAGTTTCCGGGCTAAGCCCCCTGGACAGAAGAGCCGCGCAAGCCTTGCCATCACATCCTTCCCGCGTCAGAGCAGTCGCAAGGCGTCGCCGTTCCTCATCTCTGGGCGCGGCCCTGCCACCACGCCGGGCTGGCATGTGGCGGGACTCCCAGAGAGACTGACACGATCACGGGTATAAGCGCCTGCTGCTTTGCGGTGTTTGCGGCCACCCCGTGGTGGGGGGCACAGGACGCACTGTGGAAGCAGAAACAGCTGGCGCCAGGCGGTGTTGCTGTGCGCCACTGCGGCCAAAGCACGCGACAAAGCCTGGCTCCAAGCATGCCTTGCAGCGGCAGGAACGTGGCGCAGGGTGGTGGTGCGAGAGGCCAAGAGGTCAGCAAAGGACGGGCCGCTCCAGATGCCCGCTGGCGCAGCTCCGGCAGAACCAGCGGCAGGCCCAGCAGCCTCACGCGCGGCAGGCCTGCAAGTCGGGTGCACACCGTGGCGAGAAGAGACACTGAGCCCGCAGACACTGCAGCGTTGGCGGTTGTGGGCCTGCAGCCATTCTGCTGGGACCTCCCCTGCCAGAGCACCACCAAGGTGAGCGTCAATGTGTGACCGGATGGTTTCCTTGCTGGTCCAGCCTGCTGTCCGAGTGGGATCAGAACACGGGATCAGAACACGGGCAACCTATGACAGGCCAGAACAGTCTTTGTCGCACGCCCGAGGCTCCATCCATTGGCCGAGCCTGTCAGGGAGGCCTTCGAGGTGAACGGGGCGAGGAGCTCCTTGGCGCCTACCAGGAGTCCCTGGGCCAGGATGGGCAGCTTCGCCCACTCGAATGCCCAATAAACCACACACGTGGGAGATGAGCCGCGCCACTTGCCAGCTCTGGTTGCATCCCTGGTGTTCCAGGCCAGGTTGAGTAGGCGAGTGAGCTCCCTCCTGCGAGTGCGCCCCATAGAGGCCAGCGGAGACTTTGGAGGCGTGGCGTCAGGACGATGGCATGGCAGTGGCCCCAGGCACAGACATGACAGGGTACTCTTCAACAACATCAGGCAGCCCACATAGCCCCAAGCCAGAACGCGCCCCCCCCGGAAGACGGCGCCATGGCTCAAGTGGTTTCAGGGCTTCGGGCTCTCAGCAGGAAACGACTACATGGTCCCTTATGGGTGCTTAAAAGGGGACCCTTGAATAGGGCTCACCCTAAACCCTAAACCCTAAACCCTAAACCCTAGGGGTGCAGCCTCACTGCTAGGAATGAGCATCTCCCGAACCCTCCTGTTCAGAGCCGCGCTTCGACCTTCAACCGCACCCGTGCAGAGCAGCGGCTCGGGGCTTTTGGGGTTTAGAGTTTAGGGTTTAGGGGTTTAGGGTTTAGGGTTTAGGGCTTAAGGGCTTACGGGCTTAAGGGCTTAAGGGCTTGCTTGAGGGGGGCGATGCAGGAATTTTGGGGTATTTGGGAAGAGAAAAATAGAACTTGGCCTTGTGTTTCTCAAGCGCTTCAGGTCGCTATACACTTTGTCAGGACCCTAAAACCTTAAACCCTAAACCCTAAATCCTAAACCCTAACCCTAAACCCTAAACCCTAAACCCCAAACCCTAAAACCCTAAAAGCGCTGGCCGGGTGGCGCCCGGCACACCAGCTCATGATGCCCGCCCATCCTTGGTTGAGAGGGTTTAGGGTTTAGGGTTTGGGGGTTTGGGGGTTTGGGGGTTTGGGGTTTAGGATTTAGGGTTTAGGGCTCAGGGCTTGGGGTTTAGGGCCTAGGGTTTTTGCCTTGGGGTTTGCTCAATTCTAACCCTAAACCTTCGGATGTTCACCCTTATACTAACAGTCCTTCATGGGGACTATAGTATCCCCTAGTATAATCCCTATTAAGGACTGTTAGCAGAAGGGGGGACATCCCAACCCTAAACCCTAAACCCTAAACCCTAAACCCCAAACCCCAAACCCGAAAGCCTAAACCTAAGAACTCAATATTTAAGTTCTCGGGCCCTCCAGCATTGCGGTTCAAGGAAGCTTCAGTGCGGGGTTAGGGTGTAGGGTGTTGGGGCGTAGGGTGTTGGGCGTAGGGTGTTGAGTTTAGGGTTCAGGGTTTAGGGTTTAGGGCTAGCTCATAAGCCCGGAGATCCGGCGAGTACCCTAGACCTTGGGGATTTCATCAAGCGACAATGCCGAAGCCGAGCCGGCGCGCTGCAGCGTCCCACTGGGGGCGGTGCCAGAAGGCCTCAGCGGCAAAAGTAGGGTTTAGGGTTCAGGGTTTAGGGTTTAGGGTTTAGGGTTTAGGGTTTACTTTTGGGGAGATAGACCCTCTGAATAAAGCCCCTGTTTAAGAGCCAGAAGCGGGTTCAGAAGGGTTCCCTGATAAAGGGCCTTAGGGTTTGGGGGCGTAAGGGTGTCCCAAAGGCCCTAGGACAAGAGCCCTAAACCCTAAACCCTGAACCCTAAACCCTAAACCCTGAACCATGAATCCTGAGCCCTAAACCCTAAACCCTAAACCCTGAACCATGAATCCTGAGCCCTAAACCCTAAACCCTAAACCCTAAACCCTAAACCCTAAACCCTAAACCCTAAACCCTGAACCCTGGAGGGCTTTCGGTCAAAAGTGGAGGGCTTGGGGTTGAAGATGGTCCCACCCAAGCGTTGAGGGTGCCCCCTAAAGCCTGACCCCCCTTAGGCAACCTAACCTCAAAATCCCAGAAGCATCTGGGGCTTAGGAACCAAGAAGCCTCAAAGGGCCATCGGGGTGAGGGTTTAGGGTTTAGGGTTCAGGGTTTAGTGTTTAGGGTTTAGGATTGGGGTTTGTTTAGGGTTTAGGGTTTGGGGTTTAGGATTTAGGATTATGGGTTGGGGCTGCTTTTGCTTGCTTAGGGCTGTTTGGGATCTAATTAGGGTTGCTTTGGGCTGTGCTTAGGGTTGTTTGTTTCTGTTTGGGGTTCAAGGCTTACGTAGGGCTGAGGGGGCAGTTGAGAGAGGGCCTACGGCTGAAGGGCCTCCGGTTTAGGACTTAGGTAGGGTTTAGGGTTTAGGATTTAGGGTTTTGGGTTTAGGGTTCCTAAACCCTAAACCCTAAACCCTAATGCCTAAACCCTAAACCCTAAACCCTAAACCCTAAACCCTAAACCCTAAACCCTAAACCCTAAACCCTAAACCCTAAACCCTAAACCCTAAACCCCAAACAGAACCGTTGCTCCAGGTGACATAGGTGGGAACAGCTTCTGGTGCTCCGGCTTGTGGGGGATACATCCCCGACTGCCTTGGATCGGAAGGTCACCCGAAAGCCTAAGCCCCCAAACCCCAAACAAGGGTTTAGGGTTTAGGGTTTAGGGTTTAGGGTTTAGGGTTTAGGGTTTAGGGTTTAGAGTGTAGGGTTGAGGGTTTAGGGTTTAGGAACCCTAAGCTCTAAGCCCGAAATTCTGACCTTTCAGGGCCCAAATATATGTGTGGGTGTGTATGCCTCAATTTCTTGCTCAGACTCTGCTGCACTGGCATTGGTGAGAAAGCCCGGCCTTGAAATTCAGAGAGAGAAAGAGAGAACCACAGAGCCGGGTTGCGAGCATTGTCGACGACCATGATGTCATGGATGTTGTGAGAACCAACGACGCACGTAACACCTGCGAGTGAAAATGGCGACGGCTTCAACCCTGGAAACCCTAAACCCTAAACCCTAAACCTTTTATGAGCGTGCTAGAAAACGTGAGGGCTGGGTCGGTTTTCATAATATGTGAAACGTACGAAGATGTCTCCAATCACCGGGGATGGTTTGGTTATGCCGTGGCATGCAAGAAACATCACCAACGTGAGTGATTCGTGCTTCGTCTTATGTCCTTCTTGTCCCAAACCACAAATGTGGTATGCTCTTGTGTTGGTTCTCCTGTCTAAGACAGTTGTGTTGAAACCTTCTTCTGCAACGCTTTCGGACATCCGCTGTGGACCTTGTATACAGTCCGAGCGACACGCATCATGTGAAGCGAGCGACTCCAAGCCCAGGAACTCTGATCCATGAACACTAAACCCTGAACCCTCAACCCTAAACAAACCCTAATCCTAAACCCTAGACCCTAGACCCTAGACCCTAAACCCTAAACCCTAAACCCTAAACCCTAAACCCTTAAACCCAAACTGAGGAACTCTGACCACTGATCCTCCCAAACCCTAAGCCCTCCTATAAAAACACCTAAGCCCTGCCTGTGCCGTATGGCCAGTACGTCGATGCGCGCGTCCTTCGAATGGTTGTCGTCGGAGCCTGACCAGCAAACAGAGCCTTTCATTCAAGCGGTTTAGGGTTTTAGGGTCTTAGGGTCCTAAGGTCTTGGGGTCTTAGGGTCTTAGGTTTGGAATCCTGTTGAGTAAGGGGGGCGGAAGCCTCAATCCAAAATCCACAGACCATAAATCCTACAACCCTAAATTTGAGCCCGACAACCCCTAAACCCCAAACCCTAGACCCTAAACCCTAACCCTAAACCCTAACCCTAGACCCTAAACCCTAAACCCCAAACCCCAAAACCTAAACCCTACACCACCCCAACAGTGGCAGGAAGGGAGGGGCGCCCCGATCCGCCACCTGCTCCTTGGGCAGATGGGCCTCGAACCAAGCGCCTCACAGAAGGAGCGCGGAGGTCAGGGCTGACCCGTTTGGGGTTCAGGGTTTAGGGTTTAGGGTTTAGGGTTTAGGGCTTGGGATTTGGGGTTTAGGGGTTAGGGGTTTAGGGTTTTGAAGTTGAGAGCAAAATTTGGAGGGGCTTCCAATCAGACTCTTAGAACGTTGAAGAGCCATTAAAAGTGATCGACATTTAGCCTGAGCCCAACCCACCAGAGGTATTTTGGAGAATCGAAGGATATCTCAGGCCAGTGTTTTATGCGTGCGATGTGTTTTTTCTGCCGCTGCGCGGCAAGAGGCCCTCAACCCTAAACCCTGCACCTTAAGCTGGCTTGGGTTTACAGGAAACTGACCCAAGGATTGGGATGTCCCAACAGCAACTGAGCCCTCCAAGCATCACCCTTCCACACTGGGGTACTTTTTTGGTGTCCGGGTTTTTGACTCGGCTCTCAACACTCCTAAACGCTAAACCCTAAACCCTGGGTCAGTCTTCGGGACTGGGGGGTGGAGAGGGCTTTCAACGGGCTTAATCTGTGGTTCCTGTTCCTGCCTGCCGCTCGCACCATGTCCCCAAACGCAAGTTCCGAAACCCCCAATTTCCTAATTCCCTGAGCCCTAAACCCTAAACCCTAAACCCGAAACCCCAAAAGGCAAAACTCCAAGTCCATGAGCCGTGCGGCCGTAGCTGTGAAAAACCGTCTGAGGAGGGACTGGTCGCTCCGGATGAACGTACTGTGAGACGAAGCCGCCTCCTCGGTATACGAGGGCTTGGGGTTTAGGGTTCGGTTGGGTGTTAAGGGTTTAGGGTTTAGGGTTTAGGGTTTAGGGGTTTAGGGTTTAGGGTTTAGGGTTTAGGGTTTAGGGTTTAGGGTTTAGGGTTTAGGGTCTAGGGTTTAGGGTTTAGGGTTTCGGGTTTCGGGTTTCGGGTTTCGGGTTTGAATTGGTGTACATGTATATGTATACACACACATACATGTAGCTTATTGCTATATCTATGTTCATATTCCAAACTAGGAGCCGCTTGAAGCCAACAAGGGAAGAGACTCAATACCCCAATGGGCTACCTGAGTTTCGGGGTCTTAGGTCGAAGTCTTCTTCCCCCCCCCCAAGCCCTAAACCCCAAACCCTGCATCTGAGCCTACACCCTAGACCCTAAACCCTAAACCCTAAACCCTAAACCCTAAACCCTAAACCCTAAACCCTAAGGCACGGACTTCAGAGCTGAACGCCGGTCACCCCTTAACGTAGCCCGAAGACTGGCATGCTTGCAGGGTGCATGGAGAGCTCTCCGAAAAACCACGCGAAACTCCAAACCCTACACCTTCAACCCCGACAGCTTAGGGTTTAGGGTTTAGGGTTTAGGGTTTAGGGTTTAGGGTTTAGGGTTTAGGGTTTAGGGTTTAGGGTTTAGGGTTTAGGGTTTAGGGTTTAGGGCTTAGGGCTTAGGGCTCAGGATTGAGGGTGTGTCAGGGCTCGTGTTCCATTCTCCCTAGAAAAACCTTAGCAGACCCCGAGCAAGCCCTTCGGAAAGAACCAAAAGACGTTCCCACGACCTTGTAACGCTGAGGCGTCTGTCAAGGCCTTTGAAACAAACCCTTGACAATGACAAGCCCTTCTGAAGCTAAACACGAAGCAACTTCAAAAGCCCAGGAACCTTGCAGTCCTTAAACCCGAACTCCCTAGACCCGATTAACCCCTAAACCAAAAAAAACCCTAAACCCTGTATACACCCTAAACCCTAAACCCTAAACCCTAAACCCCTAAAGCAACAAAAAAAAAACCTAAACCCTACAGAAAGCCTCTGCCCCAAAAGCCACCCCCCCCCCCTCCGCAAACCCCGGGCGCTGGCTGCGGCCCACGTCGCCGGGCAGGCGCTCGAGGGGCTCAGGGTTCTTCAGGTAGGGCCCGCGAGGGAAGGCCATGGGCTGCGCTTTTTTGGGGAGTGAGACCGGAAGAGGCGCCCTTTAGGCCCCTCTGAGTGCCCTTCTGGTAGGCAGTAGTTGGGGTATATCCAAGAAGTAAGACATGCAGTTCTTCGACGGAAGGGTGTGTGAATTACTAACTGGATTACTCAACTCTAGGAATCTTGGAAGGGATGTTTGCACACTTTGGTCCTACATCTGCAACCCTCACCTGTTATGAGGTCTTCTCGCGCGCGGGGGCCAGGCTCTTCCACTTGCATCTTCGGTTCAATTGGCCGCTTCCTTGCGCTCAGAATACTCTTTGGGATGGTTGCGTAGGTTGCGGACTTGCAGCGGTTCTGGGGAGCATAATATAGGAGTCGGATTAATTACTGGCCTTATGGGTTCCTCCTATACACTTCGACTACAATGAACCCGCAAACCCTGGTCTAATTACTAAGGCCCCCATATTGGGGCTGAGCGTTTGGGGCTATTGAAGCAGTGAAGATCCCGGGCTGAGATCTACATAGGGCTCCTGAAAGCCCCTTAGCCATACCCTATAAGCCCGAAATCAGCGTTCAGGTTTAGGGTTTAGGGTTTAGGGTTTAGGGTTTAAGATTTAGGGTTTAGGGCTACGGGCTTCCTAAGTCCTAAACCCTTCCCCCCCCCCCCCTCCACCCCCCTGCTGGGCCCAGAACATGATCGCCGGGCAGATCGCCACGATGACGCCCACGATCCAGGCCCTCAGGATTTGAAAGTCATGAGGGTTCAAGACTTTAGTTGTATGATTTCTGGTATATCTCGCCTGTTCACGCAAGTTCTGAGCATTATATAAGGCTGCCAGCGCGAACTGAATATTGAGGGTGGTATCTCGCTATCTTGATTCCACCGAGCTCTCACGTTTACCTTCTTCCGAAACAAGGCGCTATGGAATACTGAAATGATTCACGCGCCATTAAACCCCTAAACCCTTGCATTGGCTGAGTTCTAGCTTCCTGACTGACTCCTTCTGACAAAGTCTGGGTAGCCCAGCAACCATCGTGTAATAAGGATGCCCTTTTTTGGGGGTTGGTTACTTTATAAGGGAACCTTGGGCAAGCCGAACGCCTAAATCTGGCAGGTTCTTCGTAGGGAATGAGGGAATGAGGGAACGGGGGAATGAGGTACCCTATATAATCCCTTAAAGGGCATCTAGGGCCCTAATTCCCTCATTCCCTGCTCCCTAGCCCTAAACCCTAAACCCTAAACCCTAAACCCTAAACCCTGAACCCTGAACCCTGAACCCTAAACCCTAAACCCTAAACCCTAAACCCTAAACCCCACACCCTGAACCTTGAGCTCCGCGCCCGAGGGATAGGAGCGTCCCTTGGAGGACCTCGCTCCGAAGACCTGGCGAAGGCAGGGCGCCATCTTGGCAGCTGGCTTGGGGTTTAGGGTTTAGGGTTTAGGGTTTAGGGTTTAGGGTTTAGGGTTTAGGGTTTAGGGTTTAGGGTTTAGGGTTTAGGGTTTAGGGTTTAGGGTTTAGGGTTTAGGGTTTAGGGTTTAGGGTTTAGGGTTTAGGGTTTAGGGTTTATTTAGGGTTTAGGGTTTAGGGTTTAGGGTTTAGGGTTTAGGGTTTAGGGTTTAGGGTTTAGGGTTTGGGTTTGGGTTTGGGGTTTGGGGTTTGGGGTTTGGGGTTGGGGTTTGGGGTTGGGGTTGGGTTTTTGGGGTTTTGGGGTTTGGGTTTAGGGTTTAGGGTTTAGGGTTTAGGGTTTAGGGTTTAGGGTTTAGGGTTTGGTGTTTGGGGTTTGGGGTTTGGGGTTTGGGGTTTGGGGTTTGGGGTTTGGGGTTTGGGGTTTGGGGTTTGGGGTTTGGGGTTTGGGGTTTGGGGTTTGGATGGGTAGGCAATCTTTTCTGCGTCTCGTTGCCCACTCAGCATGAATGTACGCCCTAAGAGGTCCGAGGTCCATGGCCCTAAACTGAGGCCCACAGTCCTTCCATAGAGTCAGCTTATGACAACTTGGAGAGCTCGGGGACCACGGGGCCAAAAGCGCTTCCAGCTGCGAGGCAGCAGCAAGTGCCGTGTGATCGATGATGTCGTAAACGAATGGGACACTTCGTCGGGAAGGTACACTAGAAGAAGTAAATGCTTTCCTGGTCAAAGGTTGTATACAAGAACCTGAAACGAACCCTGGGATCACCCTTAAGGCCTTCAAGCTCAAGCGTCCGGAGGACAAGCAGATTGAGCCCCCCCAAAGCCACCCCCCCCCCCCCCCCCCCCTCCCTACGTCCGCTGGCCGGAAACCCCGGACCCTAAACCCCTAAAGCCTGAATCCCTCGAGCCGAAACCCTAAACCCTGAGCTTGTAAGCCCTCAACCCTAAACCCTAGCCCTAAACCTCTGGAGCCTAAAGCCTAAGCCCTCGAGCCGAAACCCGACTTCTTGGTCCATGGCCTTCCTTGTAGTTCCTCTCCTGCGTGCGGTGGAGGGAAGGGTCCCCTTAGGACCTACTTAGGTTTAGGGTTTAGGGTTTAGGGTTTAGGGTTTGGGGTTTGGGGTTTGGGGTTTAGGGTTTAGGGTTGAGGGTTGAGGGTTTAGGGTTTAGGGTTTCGGGTTTCGGGTTTCGGGTTTAGCGGGCTTTAGGGTTTGGGGGGTTTCGGATCTGGGCTTTACGGTTTAGTGTTGGTGCAGGTGTCGTCGGAAGTACGTCCTTCCCTGTACTGCTGAGAGCGTACATGGCTTCTAGGTTACCGATGGCCGCTGAGAAGCCTTGATAAATCCCCAAGCCCTTCAACCCGTGCACCCTTACACCCTTAAACCCGAAACCCCCCAAAAAAAAGGTTCTAAGGGTTTTTTAGGGGACTAGTTCCCCCAAAAGCCTCTGAGACCTGGAGCCGCGGACAAGAGCTAGCACCCCAAAGTTCAACCCTGGACCCTGGACGCCGAAACCTAAACCCTGGACCCAAAAACCTAAACCCTAAACAAAGCCTGCAACCCTAAACCCTAAACCCTAAACCCTAAACCCTAAACCCTAAACCCTAAAACTCTAAACCCTAAACCCTAAACCCTAAACCCTAAGCCCTAAGCCCTAAGCCCTAAGCCCTAAACCCTAAGCCCTAAACCCTAAACCCTAAACCCTAAACCCTGAACCCTAAACCCTAAACCCCCTAAACCCTAAACCCTAAACCCTAAACCCTAAACCCTAAACCCTAAACCCTAAACCCTGAACCCTGACTGGGGCTTATCGGGCTTTCCACCGCCGACCTGCTCAGCGTCCGCGAACCGCAGGTCGAGCAA